TTTTGTTTTTGTTTTTTAATGAATTTTATTTCATTTGTTGGTTTTAAATTGCAGCAGTGGTCTTCCTGGGCCTGAGTGAGGAGACAGCCCCAATTCCCTGATACCCTCTTTTCCCATGAGACCATCAGGCCCACATGTTCCCTGGTAGGGTTCTTCTCTGGCCAGGTGATGCCACAATAAGGAATAGCTGCGTCCTCTTGAAGGGCCAGGTGGGAGGACACAGATCGTGCTGTTGTACAAACACTTCCTCTTTCTTAGGCCAGGCTGCGCACATCATTAGGACTCACAGCACTCGTGCTTTCTTGCTGTCCTGCAGAAGGGGGCAGGGTGAAAAGTCTCTGGGTTTTTTGGAATGATTGGATTAAATGGCAAAGTGTAGGGAAGGTATCACGTCTCTGAGGCTGCCATAGCATTGGGTCCAGAGCCTTCGTTAACAGGCAGCTTATCCAGCCAGGTGGGCTTTGGAGCTGAAGGCTCAGGGACCAGGATGGCTGCATACGCCGTGCACTGTAAAGAAATGTGACTCTCACCTTGTTACTTCCCTGCCGCAATTCCAAATCAGATTGGTCGTGATTGTTAGCAGAAGAAAATAAACTACCTGAATAGGAAAAAAAGACTAAGAGATATATCCCCAGAGTGTCCACCGTGGTTATCTCTGAGAGGCATGCTTATAGGTTTCTTTAGTTTCTTTTTGTGTTTTCCTTATTTTTAACACTGAGCAAGCATTACTCATGGAATCCAAAAAAAAAGAGGCAGTAAGTGTTATATATTTTTTTTAATTGCCAGTGTGCCTCCGGTGGGAAGTTCAGAATCCTTTCCATGGCATCTAAAGGCTCTCAAAATGTGGCCCCAGCCCCAGTGACCTTCAGCCCAGGGCACTCACTGCTCCCCACTCTTGTTACGGTTGAAAATATTTGTATTTCTATTATAATGTCACCTTGATTAAATGGTGGTAGTACTTGTAATAGTGCTGAAACTAGCACATGAAAATGGCACATAAGTTTGGAATAGAATTTAGATCAGAATAAAACATGATGAAAAAGGTCAAACAACCCCCATGATACTCTGTGTGTTAATTTAGGAATAAACACTGTAAACTATTGGAGATGATGCATAGAAAATAAAAGGGAGCACTGAGATAAAAATGCACTCTGGTGATGTAGGCCTATACCTCCTGAGGATGCATTTATTCCTATGGAAAAATCAATTTTGAATTTTGTGTGCATTGAATTATTTAAAGCCTTCAAGACCACATCCCTGGTGTGAAATGTAGCCACTTTGTTCTTCAGATTAATTTTTTGTAATTAAGATTATTATAGACCAGTTTTTTAAATCTCAGATCTCATTTTAAAACACATTGGGACAGAAATAATAGATTTTTATCTTTAAAGTCTAGAATATGAATGACTTTGATAAATAGGCCTGACCAATTGCTTTATAACTAGCTAAATAACTTCNAATTTTCTAGCAGGCACATTAAAATAGTAAAATATAACAGATAAAACTAATTTTTATAATGTATTTTATTTAACTTAGTATATCCAAAATACCATCTCAACATGTAATCAATATAAAAGAATCATTAATGAGATATTTTGCATTCTTTTGTGGTACTGAGTCTTTGAAATCTGGTATGACTTTACACTTACGGTATATTTCAGTCTGGAATAGCTCCACTGCAAGCACTGAGTGACCACCAATCTAGCGGCTACCATATTGAACAGTGCAGCCCTCAGGATTACAATATGGCTTCTAAGCATATAAGATTATTCTCACCTGCCACTTAGAAGCTTATTACAGTTACTCACCTCTGAGGAATAATAGAAAAAGGCGATGAGAGTAGCCTAGAAGCTTTTGAAGCATATGTTTAGAAAAGGATTTAAAAGTAAAAAATAAAAGTTGGGGGTAGGGGTGGGAACCTGAGAAATTTACTGTTACTATAAAAAAATATTTTCCACTTGAAAATATTGCTTTTTCAAAGATGTTTTTAATCTTTTCTTGTAGACAAACTTGGCCCTACAGTGTTTGCTCCTGTTAAAATGGATCTTGTTGGAAATATTAAGGTGAATGTACTAGCTTGTCTCTGGGGTGACTGTATGTTTGGAGGAAAGAGTTGCATGAAATCTCACTTAGAAACACATGGTTGTTGCATTTTATATTCAGGATAAAAAAGTATAGGCCAGCAGTGAGAAAGGTTCTGAGGCAGAAAACAAAATACTTTAATGACAGTACTTTAAAACCCTAAGACTCTTTAATTCTAGCTTAAGCCTCGTAAGACTTCTCAGGCAAAAACACACATCACCTTGAACACGTAAGGAAGAAAGTAATAGAGGCCTCATTTATTTTGATTTCTTGGAAGCCTGCTTGACAAACGTAGATGGCTCACTACTGTACTGATTCGCTGGGGAGCGTTCCGTTTTTAACTTGCGTGGTTTCCCTGCTTTTCCTCAGAAGGTGAATCAGAAGTACATCACCAACAAGGAGGAGTTTACCACCCTCCAGAAGATAGTGCTGCATGAAGTGGAGGCAGAGGTCGCCCAGGTTAGGAACTCAGCCACGGAGGCTCTGCTGTGGCTGAAGAGGTGAGGCGGCCGGGCTGGGGCAGCAGCTAAAGCCCAGCACCATCGAAATGTGACCAGCAATAAAGCTCTGTAAAGGAGACTCCTTCTGAGTGAAGGGTCTAACCCAACTGCACAGCCTTTTCTAGAGAAGGTCTAATGAATAGAACACCACTTTTTTTTTAGCTTTCCTCTTGATGGTGATAAACATCGTTAATATTACTAGTGTATGTACATTTTTTTATCTTAAAGCACGATACAGTCGACTGGTTTCTCTTTCAGTCAGTGGATCCCAAACTTTAGTGGCATCAGAATCACCTGGAGGGCTTGTTAAAAACACAGGTGCTCCGCCGCCCCACACCCCGAGTTTCCGATGCCGTGAGTCTGAAGTGGGGCCCCAGAATTTGCCTTCCTAACAGGTTCCCAGGCGATGGTGAAGCTGCTGGTCCTGGGACCACATTTTGAAAACCACTGTTTAGAGATATGCG